CAGGGGAAGGTGGGGTACTTTTAATAAGAAAAAAATATCACCACAGATTGGCGTCGCGTCTTTATTTTGAAGCAAGAGGATCGATTTATGCAGTGCAACTGTATTCACTTAAAAAACTAAAATACAAAGATTGAAAAGGATGAAGCCACTTATTTCCAAGTGTTGTAGTGCACCAATTTCCGTACCACGATATTGTTAATAGTCTAGTTTCCGCATTGTGTACCAACTTTGGTCGGCCAATTACTACTTCGAGAAGTCAAAGATGAAGACCGCGAAGAAAATATCAATTAAGTATTCCCATTTTCTGCTGCATCAAACTTACATAGTAGTTAATACTAAGGGCCAATGCAACCTGACCTCTAATGAATCAGCAACTACCAACTTACAACCGGGGATGGAGAGATGGAAAGGGGTCAATATCCACTGGCGGACCATTCAAACAATCTTGCACTAATTGAGAAGTTGCTCTTGTTATTGGTACCCACTACTTCCGACTATGATTGTAAGTTAGTGAAGTTCGTTATAAATGAAGAAAACCCTGCGCGAAGCAAGGGAAGCATTTCTAATTTGCCCTTGTGGAACACAATGTCCGAGTGTTGTTGTTATTATGTCATTTAAATTTGCCAAAAAATTCTAATATTGATTGTCAAATGTTTTAGTTTATATACCAAGGAATTTTAAAAACTTGTTGAAGTTATACTTCTTTAGGCGCGTTATGAAAAAATGATGAGAGTGAAATTTTAAGATGCGCGCGCATCACTGTAACACAAAATTTTAACAGCATGAGCATGCATGCCGCTTTAGCGACCAACTTCATGCGTTACTTTTGTGTTTACCGCACATTAAGAAAATCTACCAACAAAATAGAAATAGAATCTCTATTTAGTGGGTGCTAACGACTGCATTGTGAAGGCCTATCAAAAGTTTTCATTAATCTGGAACAACGGAACCAAAGCGCGATTCAGGAGACTACAGCGCCATCTCTTGACCATTGATGTAGTAGAACCAAAAACCACATCTTTATTTTTTGTAATAAAGTAACAGTTATAGGTATTCATATTTATAATATCAAAAGTATTTATTAATCTGGAACAACGGAACCAAAGCGCGATTCAGGAGACTACAGCGCCATCTCTTGACCATTGGTGTAGTAGAACCAAAAACCACATCTTTATTTTTTGTAATAAAGTAACAGTTATAGGTATTCATATTTATAATATTTATCCACATGTTTCTAGTTTGTATATCAGGAATACGTGTTTGAGTTTCATACAAGTGCAAATCACATATGTTCTAATAAATTATATTCAGTAGCGATTTTAATTGAATATTTTGATTATTTATTTTTCAAATTAAAACTGAACTTTATTGACTGTGTCCTTTTCCAGACTTTTTATTAATTTATTGTAATTAATTATTTGCATGCAATTAAAAACTAATTTTAAACGATGCCAAAGAAGGATAACTTCTCACGCGCCTACATAAGTACACGCACCCATTTTTTTTACAATATTTTCACTATACCTCAATCGATCTTTGAAACCTCTAAATTGATTATTTGTTTGTTTGAATATGATTTTATACATGCTTTCGACTATAATAATAAAAATATGTACTTATAAATATTTCTAACACTCACACCAATTAGCTCCTAAAGTACTGAGAGTCTTGTCTTATGGAACACTAGGGTAAAAGATAGAATACATAGATTCGAACACAAAGATAATAACGTCAAAAATGACAAACTTTGAACATCAAGCTTACTAATAATATAATAATAAATATTTATTTCAGGCGTAGTATCTATATTACATACATAAATAGAAACAATAGATAAGTAAAGTAATAATCACAATAATAAAATATATAAATTGCGAATAATTATAATTCATTTAAAGTAAATCATTAATCAATCAAATAAAACGAAATCAAAAGCTAATAAAAATAAAGTTAAATTTAACAAAATTAAAGTGATTTCTAGCAAGCAAGGATGTCTAATAAGGCCAACTCCTACCTAAGTTCATAATTTCATTAAGGCTTAATCGTATTTAGTTCATCGTTCCATCTTTGTCAATTGTTTTAAGTCAAATAGAGTTGGCATAAGGCGTAGACGTGATTAGGTTAATTTTGAATGGTGCCATTGGGCCTTAAAAGTCAATGATCCATATGAAAGGGGAGGGATTCCTTCAAAAATCTCGCCTATGATAAATATTTAAAATGCGACGCCGATTTCCCAACCCTTGTTCTACACTCATACGTGCACAGGCTAAGGAGTCTATACGGGCTCACAATAAGGAACTACCCAAAACGTGCCTGCCATGAAAGCTTTTCCATGTCATCTCAAATGCCAACCCCTGTCAAATTTTGATAGATTGGATTTCCCCTATGTACGTGATTGACTCATATAACTGACATATATTATTGGGTGTCTTAAGTTACCTAGATTGATGTTACCGAATTTAAGGTAATGTTTTCATCGATATTTTTTGCGTTTAGTAGAAAGATATTGCGTTCGTTCAACTGAAGACGATAAAATTCTAATACGTAAAAATAACAAAAAATAATATCCTATATCAGTATCGAAGGTGATATTGGTAAAAATTTTGTTCACGTAAACAAATTAAGTAAGTAACGTATGAAATTTGCCATGCCCTGCCTCTCTTCTACAGTTAATTTTTGCGTTTTAATGATAAGTTAAAGTTTATTTTACCATTAAAACGCAAAAATTAATACCTCAACCAAAAACAAACAAGAAGAATACCAAACAAAGACCTGCGAGTGTACACTTCCACAGTAACCACGTCAACTCCATTACATTTAACAAATGAAACGTGTCAGTAGATGTGACATGACAGCGATGCCCGCCATTGAATACGACTGAGGCTTGCTCCAGTTTGATTAATTATATCGCGGGACCCTCTTAAAAGTCACACGTCATAACCAGAGGCAAAAACTTTCATAGTGGACGCGACACGCACGTCTGCCACTCAACTCCGACATTCAGCGCTTTGTTAGTTTTTGCGGTCCGAAATAATGGAAGTTGAAATGTTTTGCTCGAATATTCTATTGCAGGATATCAAATGACTGTGGCGCTTTATACCAATATGCATTTATTTTACTTTACATTTTCATTTTGTACAGGTACAGATTGCCGGTTCATATCAGGCTAGGAAGACAAAAATGGTTTACACACTTGATAAATAATATTAGGTCAAATAAGTTAACGCCCCTTTTTCTTTTTTTTTATAAATCAAAGTAATCACCCATGCAATCAATGCATTTTTTCCAACATTGTGGTAGCTTATTGATTCACTTTTTGTGAATAGTTTACTGGACGGAAGGCAACAAATTCTGCAAAGGCATTTTGAACAACTTCTTGGTTATTGGACTTTTTCCCTGCTAAGAAGTTATTCAAATTCTGGAAAAAGTAGAAGTCTGTATGGGCAAGTTCTGGTAAGTACGGTGGATGACGGAGAACTTTCAACCCCAGCTCTTGTAACTTGGAGACCGTCTGCTGTGCAGTATGAAATCGCGCGTTGTCGTGCAGGAACAGCGCAGCCGAACGATTGACCAAAGCTGGTTGGAGTTGTGCGAACTTCTCCATCATTGTGTTCAGTTCTTCACAGTACATATCTGCAATAATGCTCACCCCGTTTGGTGAATGACATCGGCGCTAGACCATCAACTTTTTTAGGGGTCAGTTTTGGTTTAGGGCTTTGTTTAGGTGCTGAACCAGGATCAAACCAACTCGCTGAGCGCTTGCTATTGTTAACAGAATTAATTATTCGTCGCAAGTAACAATGTGATTCCATTGCCTCCGTTTGTGTTTCTGTTGAGAAGTGCAAGGCTCGACTCGACTGCACTTCGCGCTGGTGATAATTCAATTCATGGGGCACCCATTTGTTAAGCTTCTTTACTTTGCCAATTTGACACAAATGGACCAGTATTTTTTTCAAGTTAACCTCGAACGCTCCTACTAATTCAGCTGTTGATTGATAATCATCAGTTTCCACAATTACGTTTAAATCATCATTGTTGACTAAAGTTTTCGGTTGTCCACTGAGCTCATTTCTTAGATCGTAATTTCCAGTACGGAAGCGGGCAGACCAATAACGGGTGTTGCGATCGTTGGTTGTGTTTGCTCCGTACACGTCGTTGACTTTACGTGCCGCTTCTACTGCTTTGCTGCCACGACGGTACTTATACTCCATAATCCGAATTTTGAACGTATCCGTGATGACGATAAACGTTCAAATGTGCTGGAAACAGAATCCTAACTATTAAACAAATGACCAATTTACAAATAATAATTCCTTAAGAGGAGCTGGCGAACAAAACGTCAAATTAAATTTTACAGGAGCAGTAAAAAGCTGAATGACATAGCTACAGTGCGCTTTTGGCGTCATTTTTAATTTAGTAATTTTAACACTATTTTAGGCGGTTTTGATTGACATGAGTTGAAATTCAAATTCAGCTGGCTCAAAACCTCCGGACTGGAAAATAAAGTATAATAGATTTAAAAAATAAAGGTAATTCGAACTAAGAATTCTTAGCGGAAAATAAAAAGTTGGTTTTGAAATAGCCAGTACGGCATAACGGCAATTTCTTAGGTAAAGACATATAAATAAGTGCAAATAAAGAAAGGCAGCTGTCAATTAAACATTGTTAACGTCGCATCTATACAAAATTATACAAAGAGAAACGTTTTTAACGCCTAACTTGCTAAAGGAAGCTAGCGGAAATAATAATATCGTTCTTTACACAAGCACTTGTTATTTGATCATTTGCCAATGTGTTCAATCTACTGTTTAATTCAAATTACAATATCGTTTATTCAGTCAAGGCTAATTACTCGCAGAACCGTCCAGAAATACGACGCATAATCTATCCATTGTTTCGTAGTATTATATTTTAGGGTGCGTTACCACTTCATATGATTCTACAAGTTAAGGTTTTTGTTTTCTTAAGCTTTATATTGAATCCATGTTCTTCTTCAACAGGAGTTCGCAAGTTGAGTGCCATCATAGCATCAAGTGCCCACTCTGGTACTTGGCGGATCGAAGCTCGTTGTGGCGGTGGATCCGCCAGCGTCGACCTCAACGTTGGGACTGGAGCCAACAGTCCTACATCAGCAGCGCCAGCAGCTGAACAGCATTATGTGGAACTGCGGTTTGCTGACAGCATGCGAAGGCGATACAAGCCTGGTTTACCCTTTGTTGGACGGGTGAGCCAGATTTGAATTTAAACGCTTTCAAATTTTACAACTATTGCCAAAGTTAAACATTATTTTTAACATACTTCAAAATGAATGTTTGGTGTTTGACCTGTATGTTTGTTCGTGATTATCTCAAAAACTACTGATCCAATTTAGATGGGGTTCGGTATATAAATGCATATTTATCAGGGAAAGTTTTGATATATAATATATTTCCATTGTTCTATGGTTTCACCCGCGTAGATCGATTGGAAGAGCGCACGTCAGCGCGATCTTCCTGTTGACCTACGAGTGAAAAATTTCCAACTAGTAGCGTATTCCATATTACACAAACAATGGAAAAATAAACTGATTTTAAATAAAAATAGAACCAAATTCAAAAAATCATCTTCAACTTTTACAACTATTGCCAAAGTTAAACATTATTTTTAACATACTTCAAAAAGAGTGTTTGGTGTTTGACCTGTATGTTTGTATGTATGTATGTTTGTCCGTGAATATCTCAAAAACTACTGATCCAATTTGGATGCATATTTATCGGGGAAGGTTTGATATATAATATACTTCCATTGTCCCATGGTTTCACCCGCGTAGATCGATTGGAAGAGCGCACGTCAGCGCGATCTTCCTGTTGACCTACGAGTGAAAAATTTCCAACTAGTAGCGTATTACACTAACAATGGAAAAATATTTTTTTTTAATAGAACCAACTTCGAACAATCAACGAAGTCATTTGTTTAGCACGGAGATCATAATAATGGTATAGACTTGAAATATATCAGTCGGTAAATCAATATTTTTATTTTTATTTTTTTGCAGACGGTTCTATTTAAAAAAAAATATTTAGTTGAATTGAATGCTTAACTTAACTTAACCACTCTTTTGAATTACCCATTTTTTTTCTTACCACCTGTTAACGAAATTATGTGAGGTTGATAAATGATTCAATATTCCTGATTGTGAGTTTATGTAACCGCAGATCTACTATGCGCAATTATAAGTCAAGTATACGTATCTTTGTAAGGCTAACTAAATTATATTATGATTATAGTTTCTGATTGTCTATACAAGGGTTTTAGCATTTTTTTATTTATTTCTAAGGTCGCTTGGCTCCGGGCATGGAACTGTCCATGCTGGATGGATTGAAGTGTCAAAATGTGAACTAGCATTATAATTTAGAACCCCATCTCGATACGTAACGATATTCTTATCCTACTCAACGAGCCCTAGACAATGATCTATCACGTATATGAGACCCCTCATTAAAATTCATGAAATTGAATTTTGAACAAAAAGGACGACTTTGGGCAAGTATCCCATATAAAAGCCTAAATTTCAATTTTGTAACTCATTCCGTTCAAGGCAGAATGCCAGCAATAGGGCTCCGTTTCTACCGAACCCTAAAACTGAATCATCGAAATCTGCCTATAAATGTGCGAAAATGTGTCAGAATTTATATATACATACATAAATTCTGACACATTTTCAGACACATATATATATGTGTACATATATATATATATATATCTATAATCAGTACTGTCATGTGCTAAGTTTTAGTTTTTGCTATTTTCAGTCTACTGCAGACTTATCGTGGTCCGACTGAATGTAAATTAACTGTTCCGAATTGCCATTAAATCGCTGCTATACAAGTTTCAACAACAACTATGATCATATTCAAGGTTTCATATCAAAGCTTTAACTTTGAAAAAATAGTGTATCTACTGTAAATGTGTATTCTGTTTCAAAAACTGGATAAACATCAATAGTATAACTATAGCAAAGACTGAACCCAGAACCGACCAACTGGTACGCAGCATGCCAACTAAAGTATCTCATTAGTAAGTATTTTAAAAGTATTTATTTCTAAAGAAAAGTTTACTAGAAAAAAAAACCACGCGGACCAGGCAGCGGACGGGACTCGAACCCGCATCCTTCGCTATCCGGGCAAATGCACTGACCATTATGCTACCACGGCCCTATTAGCGGCGTCGAAATTTTCCTAGCCTTAAGCTGCAAGGCAGCGCCGTCTCTTCGCATTGTAGGTAACCCACAATGTGAAATGAATACTTTTTCAAGTATTAACCATTTGAAAGAAGAAATAGCAATTATAGTTATGATTTTTTTTAAGCATTTAACTGCTAGATGTTTAAATCTAAAGAAAAGTTTACTAGAAAAAAATCCACGCGGACCAGGCAGCGGACGGGACTCGAACTCGCATCCTTCGCTATCCGGGCGAATGCACTGACCATTATGCTACCACGGCCCTATTAGCCGCGTCGAAATTTTCCTAGCCTTAAGCTGCAAGGCAGTATTTATTTGTTCTAAAATTACTTTGAAAGTTGTATGTTGTTGACATTAAAATTCAAAATTCGATGTCGTTTATTCAGTCTAGGCTGTTACAAGAACTTGTGAATGTCGAAAAGCTACGCCATCGGTTCGCAAATCTGCGGCGGGAGACCTTGTACTGAGGAGAACCGTTAAGAAACTTAGCAAGGGCTGTTTTTTTTCTCCCTGTGTTATATACAGAGTCGTCAAATTGAAAAATTACTTCAATATGAGATAACTCATGAAGTCACTTTTCCAATTATTTAATGATTAAAATATAATATAAATAAAATATGTAGAATTAAAAGAAAGCAAGAAATGTATATGTAAAACTAAATAATTCTGGACAATTTAAACAGTCTTAGTTTTATATTCATTAAACATATACATACGTTCCGACATACTTACAAAGTGTTTTTATATTCGATTTATTTTTAATTATGTATCCAACGCCGTAGTGACCTTTTGTGTCTCCATAGCAACATCCATAGCAACGAATATAAGTTCTGAATCTTTTATATTATGGCATCCGCTTCGTCTGAAAGCCCAATTATATCATAATTAATGTGTTGCTTCCTCGAACTCTATCAGTATTTCCTCTTACATTAAGGATCATGTGTCTAAGTGCAAATATGTACTTTCTTTGGAGCAGGGTTTCCTAACCTTTATGGCACGATTTTACTTGTTCGTTAGCCCGAATTCGAATATAGTCTATGGAGTTCGGACAAACGACTAAGTAAGTGTAAATGAACGGAGTCGAAAACGCCCCTATTCGTTTCGTTCCAACTAGGACGCGGGTGCAGGTTTATTTGCCCGTGTTCCAGTACTCGTGTTCCAGATGAGCTCGATGGCGCAGAGGAGCTCGATGGCGCAAGTGGTTAGCGCGTTCGGCTGCGATCGTTGAAGTTAAGCAAGTTTCGCAGTGGTCGGTCATTGGATGGGTGATCAAAAATTTACTATCTCGAGTTCCTCCGTGCTTCGGAAGGCACGTTAAGCCGTTGGTCCCGGCTGCATCTGCAGTCGTTAGCACCCACCAATCCACACTGGGCCCGCGTAGTGGGTCATGGCCCAATCTCCCTATTCCATCCATAGGGAACGCCTGTACCCCGGTAGTGGGGACATTAATAGGCTGATGATGATGATGATGTTCCAGTACCCAAAAACTATGTAATTATTGCTTCTGTTGTCTTAATGCAATTAATGTCTTTCGTACACCCAAAAAGGGGCGAACAACCAAATGTAATTTCACCATTATTTGGCCGAGCCTCCCAGAACCAAAGAATATTGGCATGCCCCCTTCAAGTTCAGTTAAAGAAAAAAAAAATAGTTTTGACAAAAATAAGAACACCCTTTTTTAACTAAATTATTTATTTGTTTTAAAATATAAGTTTTAAGATATATTTATTTATTATGGATGTTTAATAGAAGAGTAGGTACACTTTCAATCATTAATTACTTTTACAAATTCCATTCTTATTATTTTTTAACTATACATATTATTGTATTTTTATTATTGATTTTTTTACATTATATTTTTATGATTAGTTAATGTCTTTTAACTTTAAAAGAACCTTTTAATGTTCCTCTGTACTATTTGGTTGGTTCTGGGTTCAGTCTTTGCTAGAGCTATATTATAAATGTTTAGCCAATTTCTGGTTATTAATTGCTTCGGATAGTCGTGAAAAAGAAATACATTTACAGCAGATATCTTATTCTGGCAAAGTTGAGGTTTTGATATGAAACCTTGAATATGATCATAGATCACCCCTAGGAAGACGTGCCCCCCAGGTGGGAAGTCTTGCTATAGGAGTTATTTATTTATCAAATCTTCAATGCCTTTACATTGCATATGGTGGACTTAATGCTAGTATGGCATTCTCTACCAGGTATGGCCATTCAAATCCAAAATTAATAAGTCAGGTTGCAACAATGCAATCAACTCTTCATAATTTCGCTTCAGGCATGCTTAGTTGAGCTGAAAGCGAGTTCGATCGGGCATGTGACCTAATTTCTACTAAAATACAGCCTCACCTGAACTTTGTTCTTCTAAAATGTGTTATCGATAAAAGCTCTGGCCTTTCGTTCGGAATAACAAAGGTTATTCGATTATGTTTATAAATATCCCCCGTGTTATAAGACTTCGTAGCATAATTTATTCTGTACGATACAAATTATGACTACGATAAATATTTTAATGAAAATTGAGGAGTTTTATCAGATGTTCAATCTCTTTCATTATTTTTTAATCTCTCTCCCTCAACTTATTACCAGCAATAATTTATTCGTAAATATTATAAGCGTGGCGCTTCGTAGCCTTATTAAATTATTGTTTTTAGGGTTCCGTAACCACCAGATATTTAGATCACTTTAAGTTGGAGAAAAAATTGGCTATGTAAACTCCACAACGTTAAACAATATTTATTGTTGTTCGAGTGTCAATTTAAAATAATGAATGATAGGAACAGAATAAATAGGGATGATGACTAATTTTTTTTCTTCGTTTATCAAGTAGATTATCAAAAAGTATTGGACAGGTTTTTTTTTATCTTTTTTTACATAATATAAACATTGCAGAGATATATTGATTTGAAAAGTTGCATGACGTTACGTTTTGGTACAATTTCACTTAAAAGTGCCGTCACGAGGCCCTACTCCCAAACTTTGACGCGCTTTATCTTTGTCATTTTTTGGTTGATTGGTCGAAGAAAAAATACGCGTCCATTATTTTTTGATCATCTAACTGACGGACTAAATAGAATTTCGTTTACTTTACCCCGTCATTACGCCTTTTCAAGCCTTTTTGTCGGAAATATAATCAGACACCTTATAATTATATTTATTACACCTTATAATTTGGTTATATTAATAATAACATTTTTTTATATTTTGTAATTTTTTGTCGATCTACTGTTAGTTATTGCCAGCAATATACTTTGCGTATATTTGTTTAATAAACCCCCATAGATTATAAACCTAAAGAGTCTGTTTGTTTGATAGTGAATTTATAGAAGACTTTAGGATAATATAACGTTAAGACTAATGAGAGTGGAGAAAATGATTACAAAAACGCGAAATAATATTTAATTTGAGAGCAGACACAAAAAAACGGTAAAAGTTACACAAAAATCATGTGGCCAAGTAGTTTGTACGCCGGGTTTCATGGTGTCGCCGACTCGAGAGGTCCCGGGTTCGAATCCCGGTGGCGGTAGATGTTTGTGTGATGAATACGAGCATTTGTACTCCAGTCATGTTTAATATGTATTTCTATATAAATATGCTTACATATGTACAGTATATGTATTCTATCCGTTACCCTAGCATCCCGTAACACAAGTCTACAGTACTAACTTTGGGACTAGGCTAATTGGCGTGAGTGTTGGAAATATTTATTATGACAGAAAACAAATTGTTTGTTCCCCTTTAATAGTTCTATTCCGCCAAAGCATAATTATGTTTATCCTTTAAGGGGGGACCCATTGGGACCACTCTTTTTCTCAAATTAATGCGGAGTTCTTTTGAAGTATTTTCTGTATTTTCGGCGAAACGAATATTATCGCGTACCTACCTACTCATCTGACTAACATTATGTATCCTTATTGATCGCGCCTGGTACAACCATATTCATTTATGAAGTCTTGGCAAGAGTACAATATAATAAATTACTGCTACAGAAATGACGACAAAAGCCAATTTGGGTCCTTCCGTTTATTGTAACAACGTCCACGTTCGCTTGGCACTAGTTCGCGTTGAGTGTGCAAAAAGTCTTTACGTCGCTCCTTCTTTCGTTCCTCTGTCTGCGTCATAGCTTTTCTATTTTGAATTGGTGTTGTTCGTATTTTTTCGGGAGCAATGTTGTTGATTGATTATGCCAGCCATTGTGTGGATGATCGAATAGGGATGAATGATGACTATGCCACTGGAATGATATTGCACAAGCGACATTTGTGTTTTGTCATGTAAAATAGTTGTGCGATAAGCAAAACAAACACAATCAAGACGCAAGTTTTTGCGATGCAGTACCAAAGCTTATTTGATTTATTTAAACGCCTGGATAGAGCAATCCAAATAAATCACGCAAAGTAAAAAGGCTCATGTTTCGCGCAATGTGTGCGTCACTTTAATGCCAGATTGTACTAAAGCAGTCAATGTGTGCGTGTGTAACGAAGCATATCTACCATTTGTAGTAGATATTTTTGTACTGCTTTCACGCTGTTAATTCGGTATCCAGGGTGTTTATAATCAAAGCTTAGCTTAGATTAGAAATCTCAGAGTGCTGTTGTAAGGGTTCATGAGTAACTTTGTCAAATCTCCACTATGTGAACATATTTCAGTATGGAAACCAAATAAAAAAATTCACTCATTTTCTTCAATGGTAAAAATTAACAGATGCTTCAAAGTGGATAATTACTTTTCATTGGCACCGTATTTCATACGAGAACCTCTGTCGTCGCAGGTTTTGGAATTGAGCCAGGTCGGGTTGATAAAGTTAATGGCTCAATTAAGACTTAAGTTGTCGCAATATTGTTTTCATACTATGCTCGCATTGCTCGGGTTAGGCCTTTAAATGCCAGCGCAATTCGTAGAGTTATTGCATTTTGTTGACTTATCTCCCACTTCCAGACGGTCGTCATCTAAATTGTATTATCCATTCCATGCATTTGTTAAGCTGGGGCTGGTTCTATCATAACCATGACTTGGGTTGACAAAACCCTTATATTGAAACATAAGTTGTTATTGTTGTATAATAGTTATCTATGCAACTGTTTTATAATGAAGGGTAGGGTAGGGTATTAAATCACGAATGTCTGTTCTGTTTATAGTAATATATAATACTAGCTGCCCCAGCGAACTTCGTATCGCCATTAAAATATGGGTGGTAGAAGGATGAAATTTAAAGGTTGGATGTATTTTTGTATGATGTGTGAATAAAACGAAACGACGGGTTGCACTCCGGGAGTGCCGGCAGAAGTGAAAACTTGAATATTAACGTTGTGCATTTTTAATATTTTGGAATGGTTAGGGAGTTTCCATATTTTAAACACTTTATATACACGAATTTTACGAATACACAGCAGTATGGGCATTATACAGATGGTCGAGCTATCAGCTGTCACCATCCAGGGAAACGCGTGGCACGCTGTAACATAAACACACACGAACATTCGCGCAAGCGCCCTGCGCCGCCTTAAACAAACAGCAGACGCAGGCATACATTTTCGGAAAGAGAGGGGGATACTTCCTCTCTTTCGCCGCGCCGGCTGTCTACTTTCCATTCGTCTTACGAATTTTCGATCAGGTCACGTGTCCTGACGCGAGTTTACCATTTTTTACCCATTACAAAAAAAGTGTACAACGCCGCTAAAGAAGTTTTCACTTCAAACACACAAAAAAAAAAATTAAGGGTGGGCCACCCTTAACATTTAGAAGGATGAAAAATAGATGTTGTCCGATTCTCAGACTTACTGAATATGCATTTATAGGACGACCTCCATGGCCGAGTGGTTTGTACGCCGGGTTTCATGGTGTCGCCGACTCGAGAGGGTTCGAATCCCGGTGGGGGCAGATGTTTGTGTGATGGATGTTTAATATGTATTTCTATATAAATATACTTATATATGTTCAGTATAATATGTATTCTATCCGTTACCCTAGTATCCCATAACAACAAGCCTTACAGTGCTTACTTTGAGGCTAGGTTAATTGGTGTGAGTTCTGGATATATTTATTTATTATATAAAATTTCACGAAAATCAGTCGAGTCGTTTCGAAAGACTTTATCTACATTCATGATATGAATCGTCTTTAAAAGGCGCCAATCAAGCATACGCCAGATGATAAGCGGCCATAGTCTACAGACATCAAAACTATCATTACTATTAATACCGACCTATAACGTTCTAGATCATGTTTTCTTTTCCTTTCGTAGGTCGAAGCTATGAGTACCGAGAAGAAAGTCAGGGTACGCGTCAAACTCTACGATGATAAGACAGATATCTACAGCCAAGACATCGACATGTCGACTGGGGAAGGAGGCTTCATCGTCCCAACGGTTATGGCCGATGCACCATTTGTTAATTTGCAGGTATTTATTGATACACATATTAATAATGATCCACTTTGGCTTAACATGGGTAAACTTCATTTTCACGCGTATAAGGGATAGAAAAAGAAAACTATAAAGATGCCGGCAAAAAGATGGCGCGTTCGAAGAGATACTGCTTGAGCTCACTTGTAATGGCCGAAATGCAACAGAGGCATAGTGGGGCGTTAGGCCCGATATTAGCACCAATCACACGGTAGCTCCTCGGCAGCGCATTACTTTATTTGTCAATGAACAAGTACATCGGTTTTCAATTACGTTTAGTAGATGAGTGTTAAAAATTAAAGTAAGGTTTTCTTTTACAATTTTTTAGTATTATAAAATATTAATTTCTATAAAATAATGGTGCGTCGCCTACAACGCGATAATATATAAGTTGAAATTGAATGTTTTAATGAAACTTCGTGGGATCATTGGGTTACGTATATAGAGTATCTTTGATTATTGTCGGATTTTATTTATAATTTTTTTTATATGTGCCATTTTTAAGTCCTTTCCTCCTTTTGGGTACGAAATAATTATTCTTTTTAAACACCCATACAGTGTAAGTATAAATCAATTAATAAAGAAGCACTATTAAAAAACGGAAAAACAGAAGACGGCCGGCCGGGAGCAATGACCGCTCCTGTCGTTGAATACCTACCTACGTACCTATGCGCGGTGCAAAGCGCAGTGAGTGAGCGCAGTCTCAAGTCTATCCGTCGCGCGTGCGCATTTTTTAACTTTTTGACAAGACAATATTTACAAATTATGCCTGGAGTTCTTGTTCTGCGGCCTCGATATATGAAGTTAGACATGGTGTGTTGTTATTGCGAGTGTGATGAAATACTCAGCAGAGCCGAAAGGCTTTACGAAAGCAGGATTGGTTCTGTTTACAAAGTGTATACGGGAAGTTATAGTGAAAAGAAATAATGGGTACATCGGTCTAATAAGTACTTTCCTAAATACCTAGTTATAACTTTCTTTCTGACTGAAGTGTTTAACTGCAATAAGTATTTATTTTTGCTTTACATTTGCCTCTTTCCAATGCACAGTATGTTATGAGACCGTAAAATCGGACATTCTTATTTATGATGTACTCTTTAGAGCTCATTTATACAAATATGAGAGTAAAACTCCCGTTTGAAAATTCCACGTAGTTTTTGAGATATAAAAATTTGAAAAATATATATTTTTTCTTTTTTAAAAATGAAAAAACAATCTTACTCTGTAACTAATAACATTTTGTTTAGGAATGTAACAGTACTTCATAGAACTCTAAAAACTACACGTAATAAGCGTTTTAAGTGCTTCGTAAACGCTTGCAGTTAATTAGAAAAAAAGATTTTTGTTATTTTTGTTTTTATTTTTTTCTTCATTATACCATAATATATGCAAACTTTTTCAATCGCAAGATATAGTCTGATATATATTCTAGTTGTACAAAAAAAATCAGCTTAAAATTCCGTGGTATATTTGAGAAAAAAAATTAAACCTATTCACAAAATTTTTACGCGTCTAGGGTTGACACATTTAGAAGGGATAAATTCATGTCTAAAAATTTACAAATAAAAATACTAATTGAATCCCACCTGTTATATTCATAGTATTTAAAGGTCTAAAAATTGATATTCGGCGCCTGCAGTTGTTTTTAAATTTTTATTTTATATTAATGTAAATTTATTTTCAGTCGATTAAAATGTTATTTTCACATGATAGGACTGTTGTATCATCACTTGGGTCTTCGACCTGATCTTCGATACATTATTCTTTAGTATCGATCAATAGATTAAGGTTTTTGAGATCCAATAAAATTAGCTCAAAAAGAGGGTCAAATCTCGGGAATGAAGATAATAAGCTGATATTTTTTATAAATCTATGTTTTGACGTTTTAAAGGTTACCTCATAAATCTCATAATCATATAAGATCTAGTTTCTGCGTCTTAAGTTAATTAAGTTCGAACGGGAAAAGATAGGAATAGGGAGCGAGATATTTATAAGAACGGGTTTTTCATAAATATCTCGCTTCCTATTCCAAGGTTAAAAGCTAATTTTACTGGGCTAAAGTATTTTCCACCGACATTCGACCTTTGTCATCTCTGGCATTGTCTATAATCGAACACAAGATTCAATCTTAATATGTGTGATTTTAATAAGATATTTAAACCTCCAAAAGAAATATTGCTTTTAAAAAGTTATAAGAAAATTACAATTCTATGTGACAGCCCTGGTGCATATTTTCAGTTTGTTTTTTCTCAAATATACCACGAAATTTAATGCTGATTTTTTTATACAACTAGAATAAATATCAGACTATATCTTGCGATTAAAAAAGTTTGCATATATTATGGTATAATGGAGAAAATAAATAAAAACAAATATAACAAAAAGATTTTTTTTTATTTAACTGCAAGCATTTACAAAAAACTTTAAACGCTTATTACGTGTAGTTTTAAGAGTTCTTTGAAGTATTATAACGGCTCTAAATTAAATGTTATTAGTTTACGAGTAAGATTGTTTTTCATTTTTTAAAAAGAAAAAAATAACTAACTTTTGAATTTTTGTATCTCGAAAAATAAGTGGAATTTTCAAACGAGACTTTTTCTATCATATTTGCATAAATGAGCTCTAAACGATTCATCAAATAAATGAGAATGTCCGATTTTACGGTCTCATAACACACTGTGCAATGGGTCAAAACTATTATTAATTTTTTAGGTTTTTCTCTGCTTAAGAGAAGATGACATTTGAGCTTAATATTTGAATAAATTTGATACTAAAGATTTTATTGTATTGTGTGGAATCAAAGGAGTCGCGTCAGCTGAGCAACGGCGGGCGGACGCGGTCGTTGTCCCAGCGGTGGCCGCGCCCGCTTAATTTTACTGTTTTTTCATTTTTTTAGTAATGCTTATTTATTAGTTGTTTAGGCTGAATATGTAAATATGCGTGTTTAAATTAATAACTACTCAAAAGGAGGCAAGGATATAAAAATACACAAATAAAAACATTTCAAAAAATCGAAAAAAACAGGAATGCTGTATACACGTAACCCAACAATCCCACAAAGTTGAATTTAAATATTAAATTTCACCTTATATATGCGAATGTTTATTCTTACAAGCATAAATATAATAATAAGACAAGCGGCCGCCAGCGACCCGCGTTAACCTTAATATTTTTAAAACACCTCAGGAACCTATCATTTTTCCGGGATAAAAATTATCTATTGTCTGACTGAAACATTAAAAGAAATATTATAGAAATATTTTTTAACAGCAAGAGACAATAACCATCATTGTAGTTCTAAGAATGATTGATTGTGAACCAGAGTGATTCCATTTCATTTCATTATGACGATAATAAAATATTAAACTAGTAATACAATAGATATCTCATAAAAAATAAAGTAGATTTTCTCTACTAAAACTAATGACAAATAATTCTGTAAACAAAAGTATTATTTATGTAACTTGGGGCTTTAAGCTTTATGGGCTGTTTTATTGTGATAACAGTATTAACTGTCGCTTTCGGCAAGCCATAAACTACCCTACAAAGCAAAGAATGTTCGAACCTTGGGCAATCGTTTATCAAAGGATCGGCTGGACTTTCTTTGACATTTATCACTATGGCGACTTTAGTGTATGAATATTCCTCTGTACCCATGTGTGATGTTTGACACTTTTATTTTGCCTTGCTGTTATATTTTTTTTCTATCAGATAGAATATCATAAAGTTTTGGACACGTATTTTTTCTTTATTCACTTGAGCACATCGTTACAGAGATAAATTCAATCGAAATATTGCACGCAGAACGTCACGTATTCGTAAATATTTACTTAATAATCGACGTAACGAGCACCCGCTTCCAAACTTGTCGCTTTATCTTTATTATTTTTTGGTCGATTGACAAAAGAAAAAATACGTGTCCATTATTTTTTGATAATCTAACTGGCGGACTAAGGGCCTGTTTCACAATCGCTAAGAAAAGTTCTCAGTAAGCTAATCTGCTCAGTTAAAATTATATTAGTTACTAGTGGCCCACCCTCGCTTCGCTTCGGTGTAGAGCTGTAGTGTAAACTATAGTTTTTGTTCTCAGGCTTGTGCTATAAAGAATGACTTTATTTATATAATTACACGTGTTATTGTGAGTCAACCATAAAAGATAGATATATGCTCTTGCGGGATATTTTTTAGACAATTTTATGTAGAATATTTCCGTCATACATGATTTCTATGTAACTTTAACCATTAAGACTGCACCCGCGACGGAAGCTTAAAAAATGGAGTAACTTCTCCCGTTTTCCCAACATTTCCCTTCACTACTCTGCTGCTATTAATTGTAGCGTGATGAAAAGTATACTATAACCTGCCCAGGAGTATGAAGAATAATTGTACCAAGTTTCGTTAAAATCCGTTGAGTAGTTTTTGTTTCTATAAGGAACATACACACAGACAGACAAAAATTTTACTGATTGCATTTTTGGCATCAGTATCGATCACTAATCACCCCCTGATAGTTATTTTAAAAATATATTTCATGTACAGAATTGACATCTCTACAGATTTATTATAAGTATAGATAAAGCGTTTAATAGCAAGCAATATTGGGTATATGACAGTATTAAAAATAAAGTGCCAATTGTTAGCATCTGTGTTTAGAATGAATATTGGCAGGGTGTTTTACTATATTTACAAAAAAAAAATATTTATAATTTTACTAAACACCCACGATAAAGATAATATTTTTCTTGTCTATTGTCACGTGACCCAAAACGCTTGGGATCGGCGGAGCCTAAAATGACGTCACACGCAAGTAAACTTCCGGTTAAAGTGACATTACATTGTATCGTTTGACGTTTTAATAACAGTCGTGTGACGTCACACACTAGTAAGACGCCATATTGTCCAGAAAAACGTTTTCGCACCAACTTGAACATGGAGTTTTTGATTTGGTTATTTTTACTGAAATACACAAGAGTATGATGAATATCCACTTTTCACGG